AAACTATGTTTTGTAGTCTAGAGATAAGGATTTTTGTCCTTCTCTTGAATTGTCTCCAGATCCAGGTAACTACTATTTGAACAGAATCCTAACCTGCATCTTGTCTTTAAGTCTTAAGCAAAGTTCCTTAATATTTTTAATTTTGATTTATTAAAGCTAAAACTGCCTTTCTTAAGATTAAAAAACATATTAAAAAAAGTAAGTTGGTGAGGATAGAAATATAATGAATGAACATTTGCATGAACATGAAAATATAACAAGGTAGAAATTAAGACACCCAAAATAAGGTAGAATAAATGACTTTAATGTTCACAATTACTTTTCTGCCTTAATTATCAATTGCCTCAAAATCAGAACCACATCTACATTATAAGTGGGAAATACAACTCCCAGCTCATGGAGCTAAATATCTCCAAATTGACTTTAAGTTTCTTCTGATACTTTGTGAAATTTTAATACAAAATGCCTTTACCAGGAGAAATTTAATGAATGAATTGAAAAGCATGAAGTCAGTTTACTTGACTAAAAATTGTTTTATGTAATTATTTTAAATTTATATTCATTATTATTATTTTAAAATTTACTATAGAGTACTTACACTAACTAGAAGAGATATAGAGAGAGGAAGTGAGAAAGCAAGCCTCCAGGTCCGGGATTCAAACCATGGTCAGCCATTGGGGAGTTCAATACCTTAATCACCATGTCCTCTGTCAGTCCCAATTACAAAATTTCTAATTGTTTTAGAAAAAGTGTCATGAAGCTAAAACATGTAGTTCACATGGTGAGATAAGTAGTTTTAATAAATTAGATCATATCCAAATAATTTTTCAGTAAAAAATGGAAGACATTAGAATATTAGGTATAAAGGGATAGGCATTTTTTTAGGACATTTTCTTTAAAAAACTTAGAGTGGTGTGAATTTGAACACCTCTCTGTCTGCATTATTTATTATCAGTGTGCATTAATCTATAATTGCCACCAAGTTAAAAGGTTAATTAAGGTAATAAATGAAAAAAAAAAA